GTTCGTCGCTTCGAACCGGCACCTGTCGCATATTTTTATTACTTCGCTCAGCTCCGAGTGGAAGAATAATCGTGCGAGTGAATTTTCCTTGATTTCTCCTTTTAAATCCCGTAAATTACCAGAGTGCGCGCGTGTCCTTTCCAACAATTAACGAAACTCGCCAGAGTGAATTTCGTCGAAAGTCCTCCGACCTTGCGCGTAACGCGTTGAAAATTCAGAAACTGTGCGTCATTTTTCGAAAAAATATTTCGAAGAGAAGAATGTGTTCGCTGTAACTCGAACGTGGAGAGACACATACAGGCTCGCAACTGCGCTCGATACGCCTTCCACCGCGAATTTAATGCCCCACGTTTGTTCGAGCTTCCACGAGAGTATAATAAAGAGATTACGATACGCCGTAACAGCCGAACATTTCGATTTCGCCTTGGCGATAGTTGCAACCACCGGGCGATAATTCTTTGCTAATTAGAGGCACGTAACGGCGGCATCGCGACGCATAAATGAACGTGGGTAGCGGTAAACGAGCGTCGTGGTACTCGTAATAAGACATGATGCATCGAGCCACGTATCTTCCAGCGCGTCAAACGGAAATTCGCGCGAATCAGTTTCGCAGTTAATTAGTCTCTCGGTGGTAAGTAAACGTGCCAGCGTCGGTAGAGCGTACCGTGGAAGATTTGTTGCTCCTCGTCGTCGCGTCATCGAGAATTGACACGCTCGATATCGATGGATGTTGGAAAAATTGAATTCCAGTTTTATTAAAATATTAATTACGATTTTTTTTATTAAAATATTGTATATTTATAAAATATTAATTATTATTTTTATTAAAATATTACATATTGTAATTGTCATTTTATAATTCGAGAAATCTTGGAAACGGAGCTATTGTAATTTCTTCGTTTATAGATCTCTTTAAAATAATCGTGCTGTTCAACAATTAAATCTTTTCATATAATAATATGTTACATTATGATATGATGATATTATATGGCTAGTTATAATAATAATAATCTTTTTTTTTTATAAAAGATTCATCTCGAATCATGAAATTTAGTAAGTCTGTTGTAAATAATTTTTAAATTTAAATAATATATTTCTCCTCTTGAAAAACGCACAATAATTTCCCGCGCGTGCACAGTTTTCTACGGATACTCTTCAACAATTCCGTCGTGGTATCCGGCCCGATACATTTTGCCAATTTGTTCGAGCCGAAACAATCGAAGAATTATAAAAAGCACGAAATCGTTCAATGGAGCGTGATTAATTCGTTCGCCATTAGTATACAAATGAAAGGAATTACGAAACGTCGGATGAAAAACGGTGGATCTCGCAGTACGATCGATAAGAGGAAGAAGAGGAAAAAAAGAAACAATCCGCTGTCGAGAGATAAATATCTCGATAAGGAAATGGTGTCTTCATAACAGACGTTCAAACGGAATATCCTGTCAAGATTTTTATCTTGTTTAATTGTCGGCAGACATTAAAAAAGTGCGTTTGAAACGCGTTCGACCGATTTATTCGGCCACGTACGGAATTATCGATCCGACTGTGACAGCCCAACCACGGAGAATTAATTTCTTAGCCGCCCCCGTTCTCGCGTGCACATAATAAAATTCGTGCGCCTCGTTAATTATCGTGGGGGAGCCGAAAGTCACAGGGTATTTATTATCGTGTCGAAATCGAGCCAAAAGGATCGTAGAGTAATCGGTTTTCGTTCTCATTTTCCTGTAAAGTGTAAATCAGAGTTGTTCGAGTTGAGCCGAGTAATTTGCTTTGTAATTTTTGCTGAATTAGAAGTTTCAAGTTCAAGTTTACGTTTATAATAGTAATTTGACGACAGAATTTTATTATTATTAGACTATTGATTTTTGTACAAGTTTGTATTTTTATAAAAATAATTAAAAGAATAAGACAAGATCTATTAAATGTTAATGTTTATTCAGATATGAGTAATTTTTGATGGATGTTTATAAATTATAGAGTATTTAATTCATTATTGATAGCACGATAAAACGTGAAATGTACTATCATGTACCTATGTTGATAGCTCGACAGCTATAATTATCTAGGAAATTTCTGTTCATCAAAATGGAAGTTCGATTAACTAATATTAATGCTCGAGCACTATTATTGGGTTATAAATGAATGTAATAATTTATATTATAGATAAATAAAATTTATGATACTGTTTCATATTCTCTGTGACAGATTAATAGTAAAATTAAATTAAATGAACAATTCCAAAATTAAGTAATTTAAACTTGAAATATTATATTTTCCAATAGCCTAATAATAACTAATTTTTGCACTAAACACATTCTATTAAATTTATAACAATATCTGAGATATATGTTATATTCATTTACACATTACTACATTACTGATTTTTATAAAAAATTTATATTTGTATACATACATATTTCAAAAAAATTCAAATTATTTAAAAGAGCATACAATAGTTTAAAAATAATTATTAGTTAAATGAAAAATAATATTACAAATAGGTAATATAAATAATCAGTACCTATAAAATGTTCATGTATTTAGATAAATACAAATATTTAGATAAATACAAAAAAAATTCACCATCTACTAATAGTATACAAGGTTTAATTATTCCATGCAAAACTAAAGACTAAAGACTAAATTTGAAGACTAAATTTTAAGACTTTCAAGCTTATACCACTTAAATAACTCTACTTTGCTGTATTCTATTTCAAGTATTTCCACGTGAAATATTTCGTCGAAATTTTTCAAGTCGAGCAGCACGAAGATTAATAGAAACCGTGTGTGCGCGGACAAAGACTGACGTGTACGAGTCGCGTTCTAATTTTGTTCCAATTCTCTTATGTTAGTCGCGTTTCAACGTCTATCGTCACACAGTAGTTGCGTCGAGCAACGTCAGTTTCCTCTTCGATATATCATGAATGATCTATTTTAATAACGTGTCAAAAAATTGACAAGGTCGTCGGAACAGAGTTCCAAACGTGTTCATTGGTTATGATTACGTAAGAAACAAACGAGCGATATTTAGGAGAAGACGATTGTACGTCGCGACAATATGGCAGAGTGGAGAAAGAAAAGAACGACGCGTTGAGTCACCGGCATTGATTAATAAAGCCGGCGTTGCCTCGATCTGAATCACGAACAAACTATCATTTTCTTCGTTCGTAGGAATGTCAATTCAGCTTGGAAGAAGATATGATAAGTACGTACATTTTTGTTGATATTTAGTCTGTAGTTATGAGTCTCTCGAAAGACTGTTTGATATAACATAGTTTGAAACGAATACAGAGATTGTTTAGTCTCTAAAATTAAAATTTAAAAGTTGAACTTTTGAAAATAGAGCTTTTTCAAAAAGAAGCAATATCGTACTGTCTTAATATTTTTCAAATTATGAGAAAATAAAACTTACCGCGTTTAATCTGTATTTTCAAAATTGCCTTTGAAAGACATACACACACACACACGATTCGATGTATTTCGATGTTCGAATCGAAAAATAGGAAAGAAAATCAGACAAGCTGGCAAAGATGCGCTGAAGGATGGAACATCAGAAAAGAGAAATCCAATTTGATTTAGAACCTCTGCAGATGAATAAATTGCGGTTCTATCGACCCCGGGGAATGTATCTCGTTTGCAAGCTGTGGGTGACGCGCGTTCCGCTGCTTGATATCGTAATGGTTCAGACGAAAAGATGATATTGGTGGCGTGCAGTTAGCGACGAACGAAATTGGAAATAGTAGGAAGAGGAAGTGCGGCACACCGTTGGAGATCGATGGTGTTTATTGCAACCCCGTCGAGCTTACTGGATTCATCCATTACGCTCCCTATATCTTTCGTCTTCAAGGCTTCGGCTTTTATTGGATGCTGCTTGCAAATAAAAGCTCGGTGCAGCGGACCGTTGGTGCATGAACGAAATATTGACTTCTGTTAGGTGTAAACAGCGAGGACTCTCCTCGAAGGGGAGAGCTTTTTAGTGTACGTTTGCAATATTTTAGAAAGAGGAAACTGGAAGATTCAATAGCGCGATAAGTAGGTTGGGACAAAGTTGGTCAGACAGAGAATTATTTTGCGGTGGTTTCGCAATTGTTTTTGCAAACTACGAACTTCTGCTAGTTTAAACGCATCTCTATAATATAGATATAAAAATAATATGTTTGAGACAACATATCCATATATTGAGGCATATATTATGATAATGGGAGAAAAATATTCTGCAAAGATTTTCTAATAATTTGTATAATATAGTTGTGTATTGAAATAGTTACCATATATATGTATAAAATAATGTTATACAATTATAACATATACATAATACATATGATATACATAACATAATACATAATACATATGACATAATACATCGATATTATAACAATCGAGAAAAATCTTGCATTGTACAATATTTCACGAAAGGAAAGAACAATTGAATCGGGATGGGAATTGAAATGAATTAGATTAGAAAGAAGCAGTAACGATAAATAAGAAGCATCAATTTGGATGTACTATACGTAGAAAACGTGACGAGTTTTCTAACGTACAATATTTTATAAAAATGGGAAAAATTGGATGGGAATTAAAACAAATGAGAACGAAACTATAAATAAAGAAAAAAAATGAAATTAACTTGCGATCGAGCATGCTGTTGAAAAACAGAAAGAACTTTTTAATTTTTTTCGAACAATATGCAGAAAAGAAACCAGAAGATTGGTGTGAAATGAAAATTACTTTAATTTTAAGATTCCGCGATTGTATTACTAATGTTATTAATAATAAATGTAAAAAGTAAAATGTAAATGTATGTAATGTAAAAAGATTTAAAATAAATTAATAGAAAGATTTTTCGTTATTCTGAAGGATAAAAATGTTCTAAAGAGTATCAAGCAGAACTGCGTTAATTCGCGGAGGTATCCCGATTAGGTATGCTACTGAATTAAAAATCAAGTAGAATGGATAAGAAACGAATCTATAATAATGATAAATATGTTTTTGCAAAGGTTCGGTGACTGGGCATGCTACTTGCAAACGCGGAGAGGGCTTGTCTGTTACTAACGGCGATCCACATTTTACTCGACAAGGGCGTCTACGCCGAGACGTTCACCCTCGGTTATATCACCGGTTCGAAAAGACGTCCAGGGGACTTGGAGTATCAACGTCCTGGTTACCGGATATCCGGCGCCATATCGCTCGCCGTGGAAGAGGTAATCGAACCGCTTATTTTCCCGGAATGCCACGACACTGACCGCAATTAGCACGGAAGCGCATAATTAACAACGATAAAAATTTTAGAATCCCTCGCGCTCCACTTATATCCGCGACCTGTTCCTCACAATCACGGTAAAATCTCCGGGCAAATTCCTTTGTCCAGAAAGGAACAGTTCTGCTACGAACGACAGAGAACTTGATTCGAGAGAATTAACATAGAATAATCCTCTGACTTCTAGGTAAAAGGAAATTCAAAGCGAAACTCCCGCGAAAGTAGAGTTCATCTCTCGGACGATACGAGAAAATGGAACTAGAGGGATGAGATTGAATTTAATTAACTCGTAGAATGTACACAGGGTATTTCATTACTTTTTGTTAGAAATTTTATATATGTAGAACAGTGTATTTAGATGCATACATATATTAACATTTGTTATAATAATAAATAAAAACTCGTGTGTTCTATTGCATCTTGAAGTTTCGCTACTTTTTTAGTTCAATGTCTACGATAGAAATTCTAGGCTTTAAATTAAACGTCAATAGCGCTAATGTTAATGAAATCGGAATATGCACATCTTGTAACCATTCATCTCTCATCGTAACATTTCTTGCTGCGTACAATGGTAATGACATAAATCAAGGCAATATCAGATGAGATGCCCTGTGTACATCTAGTATACATATAGTATAGTATATTAGTTGGGTTGTGGTAGGTGAACGCAGGTGAGCTCGGTCGACGCGGACACAAGCTCGACTTCCTGATCGCGGAAACTTATGGCGAGGAGGAGACCAGCATCCTGATGACCGCCGATCTCTGGACGAAGAACATCAGCGCGTACATTGGGCCCCAAGAAACCTGCATCCACGAGGGCAGAATGGCCGCTGCGTTCAACCTTCCAATGATATCTTACGTAAGTAGCCTTTTCTCTCTTTCTTAGCCTTGGCAAAGAATCTACGTGATTCTGTGTGCAAGTATGTGTGAATCAACTGGAATATTTCCCCTCTGTTCTTTCTCTTCTAACTCTTTGGAAATGTAATACAACGAAAAGAATTATTTAGAAAATAATTAAAAAATTTCTTGCATCTTTTGATGCCAGATATGAAGAGCATATTTCTCCCTTATCTTTTATAAAAGTATACTTCAGAAAGGGATTTTTAATAACATCAATCTTTATCGTAACTCATAATTATTAAGATAACTTGGAATTAAATTGTCTTTATCGTTTTCTAACACTATTATGACTAATTCTTATTTTTTACAGAAATATAACAGATTTGAGACTCTGTATTTTTAAAGATTTTGATGACGTTTTCTAAGATACATAAACAGATACCATTCCTCTCATCTCTCTGGTACAAGTTTTACACTAGTGGTCGTTGAAGAATGGCTATTAATCAAGGCCCTGATTAAAGCTGTATAAGTTTTAAGTATGGTGTTATTCGATGTTGCGTTCCATTTAAATCGAGAATCATAAGCCTATGTAATAGGACGAACGGTGTGTTTCGTTGGATTGTTTTTTTTTTTTTTTTTTTTTCGCTTGTATCAACGTGATCTGGCGGTGCAATGCGCGGTTTAAGCTCCCAGCAGCTGGCGGGCCAACTGAGGAAATAAATTATTCTCCGACCACCGAGGAATACGAATGTGCGCTGAGATTACGACACGTTTAACCCATTCAGCGCCACGGAGAATCATCAGCTCGATCCTTTTTATCTATCTCTATATTTCGCCAGTTGTTTCTCTCGAGATTTCAAGCTTGTTAGTATCAAATATTTTCTAGAATGTTAGAGTTTCATCGGCTTGTTGTTTGCACGTGGATTGTGAAGTAAGCGACGAGATTGTAAAGTAACACATGAAAGAATTACGTTTCATGGTACTATAAAATAGCGGTCAAATTTTGATAAAACAGAAGTTTGCGTTATTGCGGTATTGTATATTTACGTAGATTGCTCTAATTTCAAAGCACTAAAGAATGACGGTCGGCCAGACTGAATTATTTAAATTCAAGCGAAACAACTTTATTGGAATTTAATTCTTTAATAATGTAAGAATATTAATACTGATAAATATTATATCAAAACTTCAGAAGAATCTTTTTAATCTAACTTGTATCTCAAAAATTAAACAGAACAAAAAGTTTATAACGCAATTATCAATATCCCTGTAAATAATTCTCTTAACGAAAACGAGATAATTACTTTCTTAGTCATTCATTTTGAATTTGTCGTTAGTTCATTGTACTTCCAAAGTCTTAAGCGAGCGTTTTTGTATATTATATTTATACGAATTACATTTTTACGGCCTTAATGGGTTTTGTAGCGACGACGGAATTGGAATGATTTCAAGTTTCGCAGGGAAGAGAAAATGAAAAATGAACGTCAGAGATAATAAGACATGCCAAGATGGGAAAAAAGATGGAGAAAACCATTTCTGGCAGCGATTCATTAAATTCCTTTTAATCTCGCGACTGTTCTAGCTAGGCCAGGGGAAACCGAGAAAAGAAGGCATTCATCTTCTGAACGAATTATCCAGATCACTGAATACTTATTTTCCTTCTCGAGGCGCGTTGTAGAAAAATATAGGGGCGCCGTTTCACGTGTCGTTTAACCTCGCGTTACTGCTTTCCAATGGACTTGCGCGAAATTAATTGACCAGCAGGTAAAAATCCGTCCCACTGTCGAATGAATGAAACCAATTAATTTAATTCGTCTGACTCAATTTCATGTTGTACATTAACGTTCATAAGTATCTAGATACTTGAATCGATCTATAGTAACAATATTTAAACGAGTGAATTGAAGTATATTATGCAGAAATGTCCAAAAATAATTGCACATTTAATTCTTTGAGTCTTTAGTCGATACTAAGCTATTGTACAGATAATCAGTAGTAAAATAATTGGTTTACTTACTGGAGATTCAAAAATATATAAAAATTTGTATGCTTAGAAACAAATGTATTCGTACTTTCATCATTCGGCACTAAATTTTTAAACTTTTGGTAATTTTAAGTATTCAAAAATTGATATTGCCTACGTTCAACAATTAATGACATTACCTCCCTTCAGAGACTATTTTGCCTAAATAGTTTTGAACGATGCTGTATCCACTGTACATTTCCAATTCGATCAAATCCAACGATCGGATCGTTATCGTTATACTGTCAAATTTAATGCAGTCTATCCTATTAATTAATCGTGTTTGGTTGTCGAGCGAGACAGCCGTGAATCACCACCAATGTACAATTTCGTTCGTATATTTTGTTCGATTTTCCATCGGCCCGTTATATTGCAACTTGGCGATTCCCACTGACACGCTAATCACACGCATTATTACGTGTCCCTCGCTTTCCAACCTGGTAATAGACCTAGAAATCCGATGCAAATTCGATACTGGTTTGCTACATGTGAAACGAGATTTATCTTTCTGCCTATCGCCTGGCTTCGTTCGGAATAACATACACGAAAGACGGTTTATCAAAATGATTAGTTCGCCAATCTACTAATTTTGCGTCTGTTTACAGTTCTGTACTCATCGCGAGTCGTCCGACAAGAAAGAATTCCCGACGTTCGCCAGAACGAGGCCACCCGACACGCAGATCAGCAAATCTGTTGTTTCAGTGCTGATGGCATTCAACTGGACGAAAGTAAGTAGAATGAGGCGCTACGTTATGAATGATCAGACCGATTCCCTACTATTTTACAAGTTTACGTTCAAAATTTGTAGTTTAATTTAATTTTACAAATTTACAACATTTGGGTATCTCAGATGTATTTAAATGTGTTGAATAATGTAACATACTATTTTGGAAAATATGTACATATTAGACAAAAATTTGAAAACATCGAGAATTTTAAAAGCTTATATATTTCTAATAAAATCTAAAACCTAAGAATTATAAAAGATATTAGTTCGTTAAAAAGGTAATTAAAACTTTAGAAATTAATTTATAATATAAGTTTATCAACCTACGAATTTTTAAAAGATGTTGTAGAATTTTCTTATTTTAAAGCATTGAATCTTCTTAGATCACCGATACCTCTATAGCGTTAATTTATAGTGGAAAAGTAAAATTTAGTGGAAGAAATTATAGTTAATATTTAAAAAATCGATTCAACAAATTCCAAATTTTTGGAAATCTTTTGCTTTAATTTCCTTTGTTTCAAATCTAATCGTCGGTAATTCCAAAGTTCGATAAATCGTAAAACTGACAGCCCGGTCTGTTACGTTTAGGTGACGTTCATGTACATGAACTCGACCCTGTTCGAATTCAACAAGATGTCAACGATCGCGGAGACCATACTGTCGTCCTTCGAGGCTGCTGGCGTGACAGTGAACTTTGTCCGTTGCTGGGAAGAACCCTATCACGTCACGCACATGACCAATCCATTCCACAAATACGTCAGCGAAACGTATCGAGAAACGCGAAGTGAGTAAGAAAACAGATTTACAATTTGGCACGAGAGAGAACAGAAAGGGAGGGACTTGACGTGAAAACAGTGTTGCTTTGCCCAAGTTCTTTCAATGTAAAACCTCTGTTCTTCTAATTTACGACGATCGCGATAACGACGATACGGTCTTAAACGCTATTTTCCTAAATCACGCGCGACGCGTGGTCTGAAATAAAGTACCCGCATTTCGACTTTTCATCGAGTCCGTGTACAGTTTGAAACGGTAGCCCGCATGTTACGATTCCAGGAATTTCGCGTGGTGAATAGATACGGCACGTAATTCACCTCGGTATCTATTTAAATTTGTATCTACTTGTTAAAAATAAGCATAGTTAACCTGTTTTTGCCACTAGCCTCCGATGAACGATTGGGTTATCTCGGTGCAGGGGGACAATAATTGTGCGACCATAGAATGTAAATCTACATTTGTAAAAATTCAATTCTTCCTTCTCTCTTCTTTGAAAAAATTTAGAAAAATCCTCGTGACATCTTTCCAAATCAAGATTAAAGAGAACTGTTCAAACAGTAATTTGTTCAACTACATTGTTACTGTAAGAATATGCAAAAAAGAAACTTGTTTTAAAAAGACGTTTTTTTAAATTCGCTGGTCACAAAAGACCCCAGCGTGCGAAGTAAGAATTAATGAAAAAAAAAAAAGAAAAAAGGAAAGAGTGAGAGGGAGGAAAAAATCTCGGGAATTCAATTCATTGAGACAGTGTACGATACTTTGTTTCAGTTTACGTGATTCTAGGAAACTACTACGAGCACATGGGACTGCTGATGGCTCTGGACCAAAGGAAGCTCTTGGAAAAAGGTATAAATCCGCTGTAAAATAATCAGGTACATATACCAGAGAGCAGTGTCATTAGATCGTAATCTAATACTCGTCTCTGAAGCTTTACTAAAATCATCCTGCTTCGTCGCTGAATTAAGAACTCTTAAGAACCGAGTAAATAAGCACTTGGAAAAATGCTAAAAAAAAAAGAAAAGAAAGAAAAATCACGTTATTTTCTTTATCCACGCGAGCCTGTATGTTTTAACGATCGTGTATAGATCTCTCGTTTATAAATACTCGTTTGCGAAGAGAGAGAGAGAGAGAGAGAGAGAGAGAGAGAGAGAGAGAAATAAACATATCGCGGGAATTCGTGCCGCAGGCGAATACTGGGTGGTCGGTGTCGATATCGAGCAGTACGATGAGAAACGACCGGACAAGTACTTCCGTGGTTTATGGCAGAAGAAGACCAACTCGTCGATACTGAAAGCGTATCGTAGCTACTTCAGCGTGGTAGCTTCCACGCCCATTTACTCGAAGAACTTCACGCGAATGGTGAACGAGTACAGGCAAAGGCCGCCGTTTAACTTCACCAATCCATTGGCGAACATGGGCGGGATCATTCAGGTGACTATTACAATCTCACTTCGCGAATCGATAAGTTCAGTCAAACTGAAATCTTCGCAATCAGGATGTAAATCGATAACGATAAATACGACGAATGATAGCAGTCTATGCTGACGCGGAAACGGGACACCAGTCTTCGACTCTTAAAACGTAATCGTCTGTTTGTGTTATAAGGCAGATCGTGCCAGAAACGGCGTACCTGTACGACGCGGTGCACCTCTACGAGAGATCGTTGTTGAAAGCTCTGGACGAGAATCGGGACCCTCGGAACGGCCGTGAAATGGTGGCGGCGCTTTACGGCGTTCATTATCGGAGCGCCATGGGGTACGTATAAAAAGCGACGACACTCGTGGATCGCGAATCGGCTGCTTATCGCGGCCGTTTACGACATGCAAATCAGTTTCGTCGGGCGGGCGATCTCGCGGCGCAAAAATTACGCCGAAAACGAGGCACTCTTGCCTGAGACTTGACGCGTGCATTTTCGCCGAAGTGATTGTCGTTTGCATGCCGTTTGCATACCGGGTTGACAAAGACGGAAGTGAGGCGAGAAACTTGCCGCTTGGAGATAAGGGAAGAATTATGCACACTTTACGAGTACTATGCGCTGCACGAGTTTACGACTCGGTTTTATTTTTAGGGTAAAAATGAAAATTAGCACACGACACGTATAATAATTCTTCCTAACTCCTTCGCATCTATGAATGAAATATTATTCGTGATATAGTTTCATTTGAATATAAATTTTTCGAAGGATGGATCGTTCATGTGCGTACGATAGTTTATACAACAGTTTAGGAGTTTACGTTCAATGAGCAAGAGTAATTTAACCTTTTAATAAAAGATGATGAAAGTTTTATGTTCGTCTTGCGCGCTGAAGAAATATTTTCCAACGATGAGTTAATACGTAAGAATCATTTCTTGACGTCCTTCTTCTTCAAGAAATTGTAGAATAAAAATTAATTAACGTTGGAAACGTTAGTTAACCAGTGACTTTGATTACAAATCGTATTTTTGATTACCATTAATTATTTTTGATTACTGTGTGTTAATATGTTCGCAAGTTAACGAGAAATTTTGTTTCACTGCTTTCGACCATCATGAATTTCCAACTAAAAATTCTCCTATTGAGGACCGAGCCGTAACTTATCAATTTCTTAAAGTTTTGTAAAATTACAAAATCCAGGTGGAAGGTGTAACAATGAAACAAACATTGACCCTCGAAGTTTCCTTCTATAATATTCAAAAGTAGAATTTAACGATATGAAACGAATGAAATTTCGTGACTTTCATGAATGTTATTTTTACCCGAATGAAAATGTTGCATTAACACAACGTTGGTCCTTGATAGGTCAATCTTTAATTATCATATAGAGTTCAATAAAATACAGTAAAATTCTAAACTAGCTATTATATTCCTAATCGCAATCTATCCGAAAGATCATCTCACAGTATTTATCCTGAAATTCAAGAAGAAGCAACAAGACCACCTGATTCACCATGGAAATATTCATCCGCGCGTGTGAGATGGTATTTACGCGAGGTTAATAAAGCAGAGATGGCCATTATTACGGTGACGCAAGCGTCTAGAATGATAATTGACCCTACGAAATAATTAAGGCTTTCGCGCTGAGGCTGGAATCTCCCATGGATTCTCGTTACTTTCCTTCCCCATGCTCCAGTCCCATCTTCGCGATATCCCTCGCAACGCCGTCGTGCACAATTGATTACACGATAATTCATCACGCCCGTTTGACGAGCAGCGAGCCGTAGAATTAATAACGAGCGAGAGAGAAACGGGGCGGTATAAAAATTGACGGGGAAATAACGCTTCTCGCGGCGCATTTGCGCAATTTACGAGGACTTTTAGCACGCGTGAACGACGCCTGCCTGTTACATGATGTATCGCCTGTGCAGATACATGGTCTACATGGACGAAAACGGAGACGCTGAAGGCAATTACACTCTGATCGCTTTGGACAATCGACCGACAAAGGGGCACGGTTTATATCCCATAGCTTACTTTGTGGGAAAGGAGAACGGCACGAATCTGCCGGTCAGTAAGACGTTAACTGATTCTTTTTTTTTTCTTTTCTTTCTTTTTTTCTTTTTTTTTTTTTTTTTTTCGTTCGTCGTTCATCGATCCTCGTTTCGCTTGCAGAGACTTCGGCTGACGAGGGACATTTCGTGGATCGGTGACGGGCCGCCCATCGCCGAGCCTCGCTGCGGCTACCACGGTGAAAAATGCACTTGTACGTATATACGACGATTCTTTTTATTATTTCCCGCTTCGCCGTCACTGCCTATAAATCAATTCTTCGTGACGTTTGATTGAAGAAACGAGCGGCTAGTGGGGATAAAGTGAAAGCAAAGGAGGTGGGACGGTGATACTTCGCGTTAGGTTTGGAGGACGTAGAGCATAACGTTTTCCCCTCCTTCTCCTCTTCGCCACGGTGTTCGATAATGGAAACGTTCGGTGCTCGTGAAAACGCGATCGGGGTAGAAGGTTTTGGTTCTCCTTCGAATTACCATTCGTCAGCTTTCTCTTGTACCTTCATGGGCGATCGTTCGAAAATACATCATAAAGTTTGCTGGTCCGATCCGCGCATTTACATATGTAAATCTGTTTATGAGGGGGGGGGGGGAAGGGGATAGGGAGTCCATGCCCTTCTTACCCGCGAGTACCTTTTTCGTTTCCTTTAATTGAGATCGAATACGAGTATATCTCGACAACGTAACCGCTGCGATTACCGATTATGCAATGAAAGAACACACAGCCGCCACGGTCCGTGACCGATTTAAACGTTCCTGAACACGAAACGAGGGGTTACAATTAAAAAATCGAACGGAGCGAGCATCTCTGGCCTGAAGGTACGAATGATCGACCCTGAGATTGTTGGATCGGTGGATTGTTCGTTTAAAAAAATGATAATCTGGTCGATATGAGTTACGAGTAATTCATTGTATACCATTAGAAAACAATAATTAGGGTTATTATAAATTGGAACATCCCAGGTCGGAAATTATTTATAATTATTATTGTTACTGGTACTACTTAAACTAGAGCAGAATACCACAGATTATGAAATTATATGATGAGAATACTATGGACAAGAATATCATACGTTACAGAAACTGTACACATAAACCAAATGAATGCTTCTGTCTATTGAGGACTGTACGCATCCATGGTTTTATCTGTGCTGATGTTACAATATATTATACTATCGAAAATTAAACGATGATATCTCGTCCTAAATAAGAGATACGCGTATTGCGATATAGAAAACAAAAATATAAAAATATAAGAATGTAAAAACGTCTGGAAACAGTAATATAGAAGTACATATAAGAATATAAAAACGTGGGAGTATAAAAATACAGAGATGTATGTCGAAATGTAAAAATGCAGGAACATAGAAATAAAGAAATGCAAAACTGTGGAACTATAGATCTGAGAAACGATATGTTTGTGGAGCTATAGAACCGTGGAATTATAGGACTATAAAACTTTAGAATTGTGAACTTCTACAACCATGAAACTACATGATTCTAAAACAATAGTTAGAGTTATAGAACTGTACGTGGAATAATTTGTTGAAATAACAATGGAAAATCGTCTGTAAGAGACTCACAAGATCACAATCAAATCATTTAGCTCACACGGGAGAAATCGTGGGCGGTATAGCCGGTGGATTTCTGTTGATTATGACGGCGGTGATGCTGATGCTATACAGGAACTGGAAGTACGAGCAGGAACTGGATTCCCTGCTCTGGAAGGTGAACTACAAAGACATTCAGATCAAAGAGAAGAAAGACGAATCGACGGGAGTCAATGAGGCGCCTACCAAATGTAATTCCAAGGTAAATGCCTGGCTTCGTTCTCTGTGCCCGACTCCTGCCTGTCTCTCTCACTTCGTCCCTTATAACAATTCTCTGTTATTCCCGCCATTTCCCTCGACCCAATTGATCCCGGGACTTTCGAAGCTCAGCGCTGTTCCGCTATCAAATCCCGAACGATACGATCGCGCTTCTTATACAACGACTTCAAAATCCTAGCAATCCCCTATTCTGCTATAAAATACGACGAAATTATGTAAATGTAAATGCTGTGTGGAGGCTATGGGTGAAAAATACAAGTCACAATTTCTTGTCTCCTATAGCAGAGGAACAATTTTGAAGTTCAATGTGTTCTCAAGACAATTCTGTCATCAGTCTCCTTTGATTTTAGGATTAAATACAATTTCTCTTTTGTCATCTTTTTGGGTCTTTGAAAAATATCAATGACGTTAGTTGTGCAGGCAAATGTTAATTGACAATATTGAGCTAATAATTGTTTTTTAAAAACTATTTTAAATTTATCGCATATTTTCAAAATTATTAACACTTATATATTCCAAAATTTAATATTAAAATTAAAAACTTGATATTAAATATTTAACGTTTAATATTTTAATACTTGGACCTTACATTATTGACACACTTTCTTAGCCTGTTTCACATTAAAATATTTTTGCTCTGCTATCAAATGACATAAAAATCAAAAGATCGTCCTATGGTTTTTATATAGTAACCATATGCTATAATATAATATAACGTGCAGTGTAATGATTTATATTGATAAATGTTGCATATACTTTCTATATGTCTTTTTAATGAACGAAATAATTTTCCTGGATAGACGACGACACAGCCAATTGTAAGAACCAGCCAAGTTTCCCTAAGCTCGAATCCAGATGCTGACTTTCGATATTCCATGATTTACACGCAAATTGGTGTTTATAAGGGGCGGATATTCGCCGTAAAGAAGGTACGGAAGAAATCGATCGAAATTACACGGGAGATGAAGAAGGAACTGAAAGTGGTAAGTACAGCACTAGTTCGAATTGCTCGCTTAAATTGCGTTTACATTAATCAACTTTTGGTCAGTTGACTAAATAAGTCGATCGATTTCCAATATGTACATAACATCACTCAAATTAATACAATTTTCGATTGTTCGTTCGTTCGTCTATTTTTTGTCAATCAATCTTCTATTTATCAATCAATAATATCAATAAATTGACATTATAGATGTAATAAATACGATGATCGGATAATTTGAAATTTGTAAAATGTACGTGTAAAATTTCATTTTTCTTCATTTTTATCGAAGAGATTTACATAATAGTTTGTAACTTATAAAACTTTTCTAACAATATTCATGAGTCTAATATCTAATAAGCTATTTAATGAAGTAATATCACATAATTTACGAGTTTCTGATAATAATGTTAATAATAAAGCAAAGGAATTCTACAAATTAATTTTATAAATCACAAGTTATCCTATTTTTGTCCTATTCGACGAAAAATTAATAAAGAAAAGTCTATAATTAACTTACAACTTATCATTATATTATATACTAGTATTATTAATTAATGATCACATCACTATTCCTTTTACTTGGATTCTACAGCTTTCGAAAATTTCAAGAAATTGGAGTATTTGCAACATCATAATAAACTATTTCACGTTCTTTAATGATTTAAACTGAACTATATATACGTACTGAACACGTTGACCAATAAAATGTCAACGAAAAGTTAGCACAAATTAATGTACCAGCCAACCAAAAGCAATCCAATGTAAACGCAATCTTCCCATCGAAAGCCAATTTCTCGGACCATGTTGTACAAATTGAGGATCGTTTCTCTAGATGCGTGATTTGCGACACGATAATTTGAACGCTTTCATCGGAGCCTGCACCGATCCGCCGAACATATGCATCGTCGTGGAATATTGCGCTCGTGGCAGTCTGAAGGTAATCACTGGGACAGTTTGTGCAATTAAGTAGATGAAACATTCGAAAATTGCCGAGTATAATTTTCCCTGTCCGTTTTTTTTTTTTTTTTTTTTGTTTCTCTCGCAGGACATTTTGGAGAACGAGGACATGAAGCTGGATAACATGTTCATGGCGTCCTTGGTCGGTGATATAATCAGGGTATGAATTGCTAAAAAAAAAAAAATCGATGAATTCTACTTTGGTTCATTTAAGAGGGTATTTTTTGGCAATCTTTAGATTAAGATCAAACTAATTGTAAGAATTGATAAATCTATGAATTTTAAATTTCGTACGCAAGTTTATTAGACTTTCAAATATGTGCAATTGTTTTTCCCTGTAAATGTTGTTATACATTAACATTAAATTGTTGATTAATACATGTTAATTAAATCACCTTGTTTTAAAAGAAAGTAATCTTAATCTATGTGATAGCCGTGTAAAGAATAAAAATCGGCTTTATTAAAAAGATTTCAACTTTATCATAATTTTACTGCTGGATATAAAGTGATATTTCTTTTAAATGTATGTAAAATTTCGAAGAGATCGGATCACTCATTAAAGAGAAATTATATTATTATGGAGAAAATCGCATTTAAAGTTTCACATACAATTTCAACATGTATTTATGTCACTTATCTTTAATTTACTGTTCCTGTGGAATGAAAGGATATTTTCTTCTTTTATAAAAAATTCAAAGTTTGAAAATTTTAAGAAAAAAGGAAAAGATTGACTACTAATTGAGTAGGAGCATGATCATATCTTCCGCCTAATAGTAAAATTTGGATACATTTAAAATTAAATTTAAAATGACATGTTTTTGAAGTGAAAATTTCTGTTCTATCCATTAAATTTTATCGTAAGAAGAAACTTTAGAACAAATGATTATACTGATGATAATTCGCATAGAGCAGTAATAATGCTATTGTCGTTGAATAAAATTTTGTCGAAATTTACCGATCGTTCAAACTTCTCGCATTCTCGTAAGAATCTCGTTCTCGAGAGTTTCGATTTGCAGTTCCTTGGAATCTCGTATATTCGACGAAACGAGTGGAACGTAATACGGTCTTGCTTGCGCATTTTTCAGGGTATGATCTATCTGCACGAATCTGTCATAAAATACCACGGTTCGTTGAGTACGTCGAACTGTTTGGTGGATTCTCGATGGGTCGTAAAGCTGGCGGACTTTGGATTGCACGAATTTAAAAAGGACGCCGAGTGTGAGCCGTGCGATGTTATGAAGAAGTATCACGGTAATTTATCAAACGGATGACGTATAAATCCTTTGAAGAACGATTCTATAGGTCTATGACAAATATACATGACAGAGTTCCAACTAGCTAAATGTTACGTTCTATATTCTATAAAATATTTTAATTACTACGATATAAGAACATGACATGAAATGGGATTCTTAATAAAACTACTAAATCTTAACAAATTTCCCAAATTTTCAGTCTGTATATTTTTATTAGTAATACTGGTGAATAAAATAAAATTGTATAATAATACTAATTAAACTATGACTTATCCGATTTAATATATTTTGACCGCTACAAAACGAAGTTGTAATTATCCGTAACATTGCAATTATAATTCGTAGTTGGTCGCTGTTTTAAATTTGTTTCTTTTTAAAAGAAACTTCTTGTAACTATCAATAATCATAATATCAATGTTGTTTAATATTAAAGTTCAAAGCTGTCTATTTTACTTGATGGCAAATTAAATGGAAAATGATCGTTCAACAGGTTTATTGTATCGAGCGCCAGAGTTATTACGATCGACGAAAAGTCAGGAGCCAACTGTACGGGATTATCAGAGAGGGGACGTTTATTCTTTCGCGATAGTGTTGTACGAGCTTCAAGGGAGGCACGGTCCTTTTGGAATCAGCGAGTTAACCCCTTCGGAGATATTGAAGAAAGTAATCGCGAGAGAACCGGACACCGAACCGTTCAGGTATTACCATTAATGTCGCAGTCTGTCGACGGCAGAAGATACGTAAATTTTATGTGCTTTTGTTTCCACCCTGTCAGCTACTCTGTTTTCCTTGAATTATCTCAGACCACCGTTGAACCAGTTGGAGAACTGTTTCCAGTTCGTGCGCGCTTGTCTAACGGAGTGTTGGGCCGAGGATCCCGAGATTCGACCAGACTTCAAAATTATTAGGAACAAGCTAAGGCCTTTGAGAAAGGGCATGTAAGTTTCAATATTTCAAACCATGATTCAAAAAATCAATGTTAGCAACGTCAATTATTTAATTCTTTAGCAATTAAATGCAAACGTTATTTCGATATTAAAATGTAAAAGTTGATTCAAAGAAGTTTTTATTTCCATGTGACATTTTTATGTATATGTGATGCAAAGATTTAAGATTCAATAATGTAGAGTTGTACTCTTAATTTATTATTAAGTTAAATTAAGATTTATATTTTTATGAATACAAAGATAGAAAAATGGAATCAGCAGAGATTTGTCTCACATACTAAACATTACAATGTAAAGTAAGTTAGATTATTCCAAGTTCACTTATTACTAAAAAGATCGTGCAGTACAATAATTAATTTTTCATTTCATTATCAATAAAATTACTTACATTTGGTGACTGAAGCAAATCTCTCCTTATTCCTTTATTTTCGTGTTCATAAGCACTTGAGTTTGTATAAATTTTCTAAAATTTAGATTTGTAAACATTACTTGCAAATCGGTAAAGGACACTAGGAATATACATTACATAACTTGTAAAAATTGTAAAACATTGAAAAACAGAATTGTTTGATAAAACAGTAATTCGTAAACACAATTAAGAAAGTAATAAACTTGTAATATCTGCACGAATTTCATCCAGTCAATAATATAAAGTAAAATAAAAGAAAGATAAAAAGGAAAAGAAATTCGAGTGACCTAGAAATGCGTTTTTCTTAGGAAACCAAACATATTTGACAACATGATGGCCATGATGGAGAAGTACGCGAATAATCTGGAGGCGCTGGTGGACGAGCGAACGGACCAATTAACGGAAGAGAAGAAAAAAACAGGTTGCTTGAAATTTCATAAAATGTCACTCAATTAAAATGCAATCACGTTTCCCTCAAATTATATTATATTAAGTTTTGCCTTTTAGACGCGTTGCTGTATGAAATGCTACCACGTTACGTGGCAGAGCAGTTGAAACGAGGACACAAAGTTGAAGCCGAAAGCTTTGACAGTGTTACAATTTATTTCAGCGACATTGTCGGTTTCACTGCCATGTCAGCCGAGAGCACACCCTTACAGGTAATTTATACAAAAATATTTGCAAATTATTGTGAATTATTAATATTGTTGAATTATTATTGTTATTAGGTTATTGTTATTAATAGTAATATAATTCTGCTGTTCTCCTTAGATCTACAATTCAATTGGTGTTGTGAAAATACAGATAGTTTCTTTTAATTTTAATATACGATCTATTGTTATTGTTAGACTATGAACGTTTGTACAAATTCACATTTTCATCATCATAGTTAAAGTAGAAATTCGTTTCTATTAAATATTAAAGCATGTAGTTTACTTTGAATGTGTATTACAATCTTCAAACGGTATCGTTAAATCATAAATGACCACAGCATCATAATTTAGATTTTTTACCGCTAAAGTTTAAAAGAAATGATGACAAGTTTCAGAAACTTTGAATTTTTATAACTTCAAATGATCCAATGATATCAATAAAAAAAGAAAAAGACGTTAGAGATAAAAATTTTCTGTGAAAGCATATACAATCTATAGTCCACAGTCTATTACATTTATTATCTTCTTACAAAGAATAACGAAAGTGTTCCGAAAGAAAGAAAATATCTGTAAAGAGACCTGCATGAAAAAGAAATAAGAAATACGGCAGTGATTATCAATATAAATACTCGTAATACACGCAAATCCTTTGTTTGCAGGTGGTAGATTTTCTAAACGATCTATACACCTGTTTCGATTCGACTATAGAAAATTACGATGTCTACAAAGTGGAAACTATCGGTGATGCTTACATGGTGGTAAGTAACAAAGTGTCTGAACGTCTGAAACAGGATCCTGAATGATTCTCGTTTTAGGTGAGCGGTTTGCCAATTCGAAACGGTATCCAACATGCGGGGGAAATTGCCAGTATGTCCTTATGCCTTCTAGACGCTATTAAACAATTCACCATTCGACATAGGCCGTTAGATAAGCTACAACTGCGAATCGGCATACATTCTGGTAAACTTGGTGGAAAAACGTGTACGATTTTACAATTAGACATGAATTACAATTGATATCACTTTCGTTTAGGTCCTGTATGCGCCGGTGTGGTCGGTCTAAAAATGCCCCGTTACTGTCTATTTGGAGACACCGTAAATACTGCCAGTCGTATGGAATCTACTGGATCTGGTAAATAATTATTTATTGGCAGCGAGAGGAAAAGTGAAAAGGCTTTCGATATAATTTCTCGGTGTGTCCAATTAAACGAACCGCAATAAAATTCTCCGATTAGACTTCTTAGCTGCCTACGAGAACGGAATATAATTTCAAGAGTAACAGTTATAAAATATATTACTATCGATCATCTTTTTAATTTTGTTGTGATATACATTCATTTGAATGATTCATATCGCAAATATTCGTATAAACTATCGTATAACGCTGTAACGCGTCTAACATCTTTTGCTTTCCAGCTTTAAAGATCCACTGCAGCAAAGAAACGAAGGAACTCCTGGATCAATTGGGCGGTTTCAAAGTGGTGGAAAGAGGGCTAGTCTCTATGAAAGGCAAAGGCGAGCGACTGACCTACTGGCTCCTCGGCGAAGACCCCGTCTTACGGGAGGAACGAAACAGGGAACGAAAAAATCGAAGGAACGGCCACGCCAAGAAGAACCCGAACCCTCTGATACCACGAAGCTCCCTCAAGAACAAATCTCTCGTACGATCCACCTTCATGAGATGTTCCAGCGAGTCCCCGAAACGATTGCGTTTCGCAAGCTCCGATCAACTGGACCAGAACTGTTCCCGCGCGAACAGCCAATTGGAATCGATCGTCGACAATAGTCCGTGTAAACCGAAGGCCTCTTGTACGGCGAGAGCTTCGTGCGCGGACAGCTGGAGGTCCTCAAGCAACTCGTGCCCGTGCGTCGAGAAATTGTGCGAACAGGAAACTGTTCGGATCGACGTGAAGGATCTGGCGCGGAATCAATCGGACGCGAGGTGTTCGCCGCTGCGAGCGAACTGGACGATCGGCAGTGAGCCTTGTTTCTTGCGCGGAGGGGCGAAGAACTTCCGGTTCGGGTCGGCCGGCGTCGCGCAGACAACCTGCAGATCCGCGCCCAGCAGCCCAAGGCACAGCACTCTGATCTTAAATTGTCAGAGGCGAGCGGCACAGTCGAACGAGGAGATAGACGGATGGGACGCTACCACGCCACTGATTTATTATCCGGGAGGACGATTGGATTAAGGAGCCTGGGCTGGAGCCGCCACGAGTGTAGGCTCGTCGATCTCGAGTCGGTTTCTTCAACGCGACATCGACGTGATTTAACTCTCGACGATCGGATGCAGGTGCTCGATTACGCGCACATGGAAGTACCGATCGTCCGTACTGAGAGACCGGGAGGAATGAGAGATCGAAGAGTTGAAGTGTGCGCTTAATTCGGTGTGATTAATTAAGCCGGGATGTTGGTGAGTTGTTCTCGATGAATGAAAGTCATCGAATGGCTGAAGAGCGCGACGCCTCGATAATTGCGGAGACTCGAAGGATACCGAGGTAGGAGTTTACTTCGATTTATCGATTTGTAGCTGGTCCGGTTCATGCGATCTCTGCGCGATTCATCTCAAAGATGAAACCGCGAGTTTTACCGCGAACGATTACGCGCGAGCTACGGTTGGTCAATTAACGAATTCACTCGCCGAGCGGCTGTGCTCGCTCTCTCGGACATGATTTTCCCCTCGTTCGCAGTGCACGATGTACCAAAGCACACCGCACGTACAAACGAGATACCTAACAGACGTATTTATACATTATTTATAGCATACGTAACTCGTGCACGGAAATCAACGCGTCGTAACGGTATATTCCACGCATTAGCTTAGACAATCAAGAAGGCTCGTGCTTTTTATTCCGTATAAGTGTCCTCTAGTCAATTTATTTTAATTTTACGCACACGGTTCAGTTCTTACGACGCAACGAATCGAATATTCATACGGAGTTTGCAATAAAATACGTTTCTATTCGAACACGTCCGCGAGGTAATGGTTGTCCGATAGAATCTTCGCGACATTAGCGTGAACGATGCTATTTACTGCCGGCGCGTAGTACTTACAATTATTTATAGAGTAATATATGTACATATATATATATACACACACACTCCTGTTTGGAAGTTTGGGCCCCTTACCTTTTGATCCAGATAAATTTCTTCGCGCGTTTTTCTAAGAAATAAGAACATCGTAATTGTAGCTAACTGCTAGAAGAAAAATAATATTATGAACGAAATACTTTACTTGAAAAAGTGTTTAATTCTTTTCAAAATGAACGTGCTGTAAATTTTTGAACGGGAGACAGAGTAATATATAAAATAGTAATATACGTATTATACCATGAACGCTCGGAAACTCGAATCGGAGTTTCTTCGATAACGTGTGTCATCCAATTAAGAAACCGATCTATTAGCGCGATACGGAAGAAAAAAAAGAAGAAGAAGAAGAAGAAGAAGAAGAAAGGAAACACGTGTAAATTTATTATTCCTCTTGAAATAAAGAAATCATTAATGAACCACGGATCGTTCGATTGACGACGGTTGTGCAGTCGTCGTCGAATTAGATCGGTTGTCAAAACCGATGTACACAAATTTCTCTACAAACACAGGGAGGATGTGTGAGCAAACACACGAAGAGAGAGAGAGATCCGAGATAATTTCACAGTATTGACGGAGATGTGGTTGTTGCACGCAAGTGCAATGGCATCGAGCGTGTTACCCGAGCAGACACACGAGCACGATGCGTGATGAAACGGCGGCGATAACGTACCGAGATCCATTAAATTATTAGCATTGAAGAAATTAATTGAACACGAGACGGTGATTGCACGCGTTCCTCTTGCTCGCTTGCTCCTGTTTTATCTACCGCCGCACGGACTGCAGCTTTGTCGTGAAGAATTGGAAAAAAATCGATCAAAGTCGATCACGTAGTGTCTGAGACCACGGACAACAACAAACTACAATCGAGCAACATTCACGATTGTAAAATTAACGCATTGGTTTGCCAGTTGCATCAGTGAAGCGTTTCATCCGCGCACAGGAGTTCGGAGCGGCAGGGAGGAAGGAAAGTTCGAAGACGCGCGGTAACGATCGCGCCGATGAAAGTCCAGTTGCCGTCTTTCAGGGATATATTAATCGCGCGGGTGCACACGTACACGCGTTTCACGCTTGCTCGGAGATTCAGATTTGATTTACAGTTAACAGGTTGGCGTTAGAAAGTTCAGTTCAGGGATAGAAGGCGAGCAACGGGGAAGGCAAGCGTTCGAATACGCATACCGGCGACGTTCCATTCCTTTTTAATAATCCACTGGCTACTGTTACGTTTATTTATATATCGAGCGTGTCGGCGCAACGATCAGTCGTGCCTCCCGATCACGAAAACTATAACTGAAGCCGTTATAGTTGCGGTGCGATCGATCGGCTTAACCAAACTCTCTTCATTACTTTAATTTGCACGTCTCGTTACGTGCGTCTTTCGTGGCACGTGATCACGGTGCATCACGGTTCAGTCTCAGCTCTCGAACGCGAAACACTCGTGTAAATACTAGAATGACTTCTGAATTTATTGCGCAATTTACTATTCGTCGTAAACCCGCAAGCCCGCGGAGAAAATTCTTCCAAGCTGTTTCCCTGTTCTCTCTGAGATCATGCGTGTAACACGTTCAACGCGCGTTACATACCAGTGTGTAATCGAATCTCAAATTAATTCTTGAACATGTACAAGTGTTGTTGAAAACTGGAAAAATTGGTTCCAGTTTGTTACATCAACAGTTATATAACAAAAGACACAGATAACAACCATGGGACCAAGCGAAGCAAATTAAGTATTCCTCTCGCACTTGTAACGTATCGTTTGATATTTTTTCAGCCCTCATCCCCCTCCCCAGTTGCGTCCGAAGTTCTCCAACGAGACGGGGGTTTCATAAAATACGTAACGACGCGTAAGAATCGAACACCCTGTATAACGAGGCGACTCTTATATACAGAATAGGGTACTATCTTATTTACGGTGAAGTGGTTGTCGGCCAACTTAGAGGAGCGGCCATCATTCAATCAAGCCGGACAATTTAAACAGCCTGATTCACGCAGCGAAATCATTTAATATTTGACGTCAAGCACGATTATCGTATAACGGTGCGTAATGGCCGATTGTTTATACAGGTTGCAAGCGGCGCCGCAATTTTCAAATGGTGTATCTGCCTCCTGAGAACGAGATGTTGTTGAACGTTGTCGGACGAAGCAATGTTGCAAAATGATCCGGTCATTAGCGGCGGGCACAAGTGACGAGTACAATTACTCTTCAACCGTTTGCTGGTCGAGCAAACCAAAGAACAGAAAAAGAATTCGTGTTCTCGCAGCCCCCTTTTTTCACCCCATCCGTCGCCGTTTCACGGACTTTGACAAATTTAACGAAGGCTCGTTTTATCAATTCGTGCGAATCCCACGCGTGTAATGTCAATTCTGTACTGTCGTGGATTCGTTTGAATATTAATCGAGTCAACGACGCTGTATTATTTCGACTTCACGCTCGAACGCGAACGGTCTCTTCGGAGAGCGAGTACTTTTATTAGGTTCTCCTTCTGCCAGCCTGTGGTGTCTCTCTATTTATAGACACGGAATTATCTTCATCCGCCGTAGAACAATACGGTTCGGAGCGGTAAAAAATTTTGATAGGAGAATGCTAATCTACGTGGTTCATCGTTGTCGTTCTCGTTGACGGCCTCGAATGAAAAGGAGCGGCTCGATTACCAGCAATTAGATCATCGTTGTCGCGCGTACATATGATTAGAAGAGAGAGAGAGAGAGATACGAGAGATTTGCAACAGAGTGATATTCTAATTTAGTAGTGTGAAAAGAAAAGATTTGAGGAATATTTTTCCACTGTTTAATTACTAATAATTGGACTGTGGATTTTTATGCAAACGCGTATCTGTATGGATACGATTTAAAAAGACAAAACTCAAGTATAATTTTATCTGTTAAAAATTGTAAGCGAGTACTTTAGTTTGAGTATTTTATAGGATTCTATATATATTAATTACGTGAATTTTCCACCGTTCAATTTGTAGTTTATAAACGCGTAAGAATCTTGTAAAAAATAAAATTCAAATTCAACGGTGAAAAGGAAAGGCTAATTAAAACTATTTTCTTTCATTTTCTTTTGAAGCTTAGTCTATCAACAAGCTATTTACACAGCTTAACAGCAAAATGAAATTCTGTTTTAACGAGGGAAAGAAAGCATAAGAAAATAAAACTTTCGTCCGTACGAGATTCATATCTTCGATTGTTATCTGCCTAGTGTTGGACTCCTGCCGTCTGAATCTACTTAAATGAAACGAAATTTTAATTGGTGTCTAATTAAGAGAACTCCTGCTGACTGAATATACAAACGTAAACTTCTACTGTTCTACGAACAAAAACTCTCTAGCAAGAGAAATCAGTATGCTCCAATTGTATGAATCGTTTGTCTTCAGGCAACTACATATAAACAGAGTTCAACTGCACGGTGTTCTTTGTTTGTATAAAGTGAGAAGTTTCCTGATTAACTTTCTGATAACTCGCAGTTGCATCGTTTCGCAATTTTTGCAAACAGAGTGAAACTTTTCCCATTTTCGAGGAAGGTAGAGAGTACTTTAGAAAATGAGAATCATTGCATTTTCTTGACGAACAGGAAAATGTCGCGGCGACAGATTTGCTCGCGATCAGCACGGCGCGCTGCATCTTTCCACGAGACACCGCACCTGTGGCACAAACGACCTGTTGTCCACGCACACGCGGTTACTTTACATAAGATATGCGCAAGCTTAGACCGAGCTGAAAATAAACTCGTCGCGATTCAACACGTTCGATCGTGACACTACGCTCGTTGTCATTTAACCTGATTTCCATCGGCACGATCCGCGGCTCGCCGACCAAGCCAGTTCGAATGCCTCGCGTGCTTTTTCCGCGATAAATCTCTTCCCTGCTATTCCTGCGAAATTATCCGAGAAATCAACGAAACTGGTGCAGCGAGATCAAAACAAACTCACGTTTCATCAATGAGGAAAAGAAATCGTATCCGATCTTTTATGATATACTCGACCATCGTCTTCTTATAACGAGTGATTCAACGTTTTCGCAAAAAAAAAAAAAAAGGCGTGTAAATAATAAAATGTACGGTCTTTCGTCTGTTTTTTGTTTTTTTTTTTTTTTTTTTTTTTT